CCAATTGCTTTGACCACTGCTTCATACTAAAAACATCATTCGCATGTTAGCAAAGCTACTAACCACATCAGATGCCATACACGATATTTTCCCTCTTGGATTCTTTCTCGATGAATAAGTATGAACTGAATAACTTAAAAACTAAAAAGTTCGAAATTAAAATAACCATTCTTTATTAAATGTTTTTCTTTTTCTTTTGTCTTTAGATCACGATCATCTACAAACAGAAAAACCAAAAAAAATTTACAAACTCTTTCATAATATATAAACTTCTTTTAACAAACCGGAATGAATGACGCAGTAAAATTTCTTCCCACAGTAGTAAATTGATATATAAATTCTTTTCCCCAATAGAGTAAATCTAAATACAATGAAAATAATTTAAGAATTTCAATCCCCACAAAGCAGTAAATTTAAAAATTTCAGTAGTAACTTTACACAAATGAAAGTAGTACTAATCTTTTGAAAGACGTTTCACTTGCACACAATCTCTATCCATACTCGCACAGCTCGCCCACGACGAATTGTTTGAAATAATGATTTCAAGTTTTAGCTTTCACTAACAACAACTCAAACAAGTAATAACAAGCTTCAAACTTTCTTTTAACCAGGTTGAAAAGGAAGTATCTAATAATCCCAACTAACCAACGCAGCTTACTAAACACCATAAAACACAAACTAACAGCATGACTAAGAAAAGAAAACCCACGGTACCCAAACCGGATTAAACCAGCTTAAAGAACCGATAATTTATTTTTTTGAAGACTATTGATAAGTCTAAAAAAGAATGTATAAAACACCAAAAAGTCGGAAGACAAACCCAAACCAAACAATTTGATTTTTGAGAAAAGGACACAACCAAAACAATAAAAGGAAAAAGTCAGTAAAAAACAGGACATAAAAGGTTAACAGAAAACAAGACCCCACAAAAAACCAGCATGAAATCATACCCTCACTACTGGCCTAACCCACTAGAAGACGACGTCCTCAGCATGATTTTTGACCCAATCCCTATTTTTGACAACAGCTTCTCAAATGTGAGTAACTCTTTAAAAATAACAAGAACTAAATTAAAAGCTTTTGTGAGAAAATTAATAAAAAATCATAACTAAAAACAGAACTAACTAAAAAATTATTTAGCTAAATTTTATAATGCAGTAATATAGATCATATACAATCACGAAGACGAGCATCAAGAAATAAGGACAACTCCATCACACTCAATCCACAGAATGGCTAAACACAACCGATATGCCGCCCACAATCACAACTCAAAGGATTTGAAGTACGACTTGACATCGCAGCAAATGACTTCATTGAATCAGACCAATGATCACCTCGATGTTCAATACGTACAGACCCGAATTACAAGGCATTCTCTCCAAACTCAAGCTTCACGCCATTCCCAAACGAGATCGATCACACAGATCTCCGCGTCGAACAAGAACAAACGATCATAACAAACCACTTGGAAATCCGATTGATTTTGATGGCGGTCACAGTCATTGTTGAATGACAGAATAACATCTACGATTCCAGCTTCCTGGCGCTTCCTCCTCCAAGAACGGAATAGAAATGATGCTCGCGAAATACAAAACGATCATCATCCATCCTCCATTACAGATAGAAATTGAAGAACAAAAAAACTCCGGATGGGTGGAACCAGGTCCAAATTATAATTTATTATTGGTTATAATTTAGATATTTTATCCCTATAAAGTATTAAAGATTAACCAATCACACTCCATAAAACTAACAACACACTTATTTGTAAGTGCTGAAATTAATTGTAATTTCAGCACCAGAGCAATAATGATTTCAAGTTTTAGCTTTCACTAACAACAACTCAAACAAGTAATAACAAGCTTCAAACTTTCTTTTAACCAGGTTGAAAAGGAAGTATATAATAATCCCAACTAACCAACGCAGCTTACTAAACACCATAAAACACAAACTAACAGCATGACTAAGAAAAGAAAACCCACGGTACCCAAACCGGATTAAACCAGCTTAAAGAACCGATAATTTATTTTTTTGAAGACTATTGATAAGTCTAAAAAAGAATGTATAAAACACCAAAAAGTCGAAAGACAAACCCAAACCAAACAATTTGATTTTTGAGAAAAGGACACAACCAAAACAATAAAAGGAAAAAGTCAGTAAAAAACAGGACATAAAAGGTTAACAGAAAACAAGACCCCACAAAAAACCAGCATGAAATCATACCATCACCCCTGGCCTAACCCACTAGAAGACGACGTCCTCAGCATGATTTTTTGACCCAATCCCTATTTTTGACAACAGCTTCTCAAATGTGAGTAACTCTTTAAAAATAACAAGAACTAAATTAAAAGCTTTTGTGAGAAAATTAATAAAAAATCATAACTAAAAACAGAACTAACTAAAAAATTATTTAGCTAAATTTTATAATGCAGTAATATAGATCATATACAATCACGAAGACGAGCATCAAGAAATAAGGACAACTCCATCACACTCAATCCACAGAATGGCTAAACACAACCGATATGCCGCCCACAATCACAACTCAAAGGATTTGAAGTACGACTTGACATCGCAGCAAATGACTTCATTGAATCAGACCAATGATCACCTCGATGTTCAATACGTACAGACCCGAATTACAAGGCATTCTCTCCAAACTCAAGCTTCACGCCATTCCCAAACGAGATCGATCACACAGATCTCCGCGCCGAACAAGAACAAACGATCATAACAAACCACTTGGAAATCCGATTGATTTTGATGGCGGTCACAGTCATTGTTGAATGACAGAATAACATCTACGATTCCAGCTTCCTGGCGCTTCCTCCTCCAAGAACGGAATAGAAATGATGCTCGCGAAATACAAAACGATCATCATCCATCCTCCATTACAGATAGAAATTGAAGAACAAAAAAACTCTGTGAACTCCGGATGGGTGGAACCAGGTCCAAATTATAATTTATTATTGGTTATAATTTAGATATTTTATCCCTATAAAGTATTAAAGATTAACCAATCACACTCCATAAAACTAACAACACACTTATTTGTAAGTGCTGAAATTAATTGTAATTTCAGCACCAGAGCAATTTGAATCTAACTTACAACTTATTTGCTTTCTCCAAGAGACCGACTCGTAACAAAACCAGTATATTTTAGATCAATTGAGTCTAGGAGATATAAGAGTAACATTAAGATCGGTATTAGACTAAGAAGTTGCACGAATCTATCCGGCCAAAATAAGATAGCGTGACGAACAGACGGTGTACGCTATCTAAAATTACTCTATGAGTTAGACATCCATCCAAACTCAATGGGCATTACTCCAAAAGTAGCACCACTTGAAACTCATATAAAAGTTTCATGTGGTCAATTGGTGAAAAAAACTTGTTTATGTTGAGATTTATCTTTTCCGAAAACCATCCCCGCACAGGCTATGCTATGCATAAAGTGTTACTTTTTGCGTTTTGCAAAGCTTAAATAGACTAAACAGATTGCCTAAATTGAAGAAACTGGCAACACTTTTTTCAATCCCCATGACTTTACAAAAAATGGTCCCAGCTCAAATCCTTTTTATTTTTATCTATGAACTCACTTCTCTCTGACTAATATTTGAGAAATGTTAAGCAATAATTTACTTCATAATGTTCTAGTTAAAGAGTCGAAATTTGTCTGGAGAAAAAAGGGCCACTTCGAGCGCAAATTCCGAATAATAAACACGAAAATTGAACTTTTGGCAGCGGATAATTTCAATTTATGAGCCGAGAACGGGGAAGCGTTAAAAATAAATTCTGAAAACTGTCGGAAATCTCTTTGGCACTTTTATATCTACTAAATTCAATTTTCACTTTTGTTCGTTCTCGATCAATTTTGGGATTTTTTGATGGGAAATTGATAGTTTTGGTATCCTCTTCCGCATCAAACTCAACTCGTGATAGTTTTGATTGTTTAGAAATCATAGATTTTTACTGCTACCAGAAACACTATGAACCAGTTTGATTGTATCAGTTGAACTTTTTGAATTTCACGCAGAAGTGATGTCAAAATAATTTTTGCTTGTGCGCGCGAATTTTTCAACTAATTGCCTTAATAACAGGACAGTTTATTCCGAGTTTTCAAGAACTGATATTTGAAAGTTTTAGTTTTGTGACGAGTGACAAAAGAGAATGGAAGTTATTCATTTTAATCAAGGGCAAAGATGGGGCTTCAAAAATTTTCAAGCGCCTCTACTCGCACTGGAGCTCCATGGATAATAATCGATTATATTGTCATTTTATAGTCAGTATCTATAAAATTCCAAAAATAATCGATTATAATCCATGAAAAATGGATCATAATCCTTGTGTTTTTTATATCAATATAATCCATTAGAAACGATTATAATCGATTATAATCCATTAAAAATGGATTATAACCACAAAATTTTTTCAATCAAAATAATCCATTATAATAGATTGAAATCGACTATAATGTATTTTTTGAGAATAATTTATGAATTTTGCAAATTTTTTTCAAAGATATCTTATCTCGACTCCTGTTTCGTGCAGTTGCTACGTATTATGTTTTAGAAATTTTTACATTGCACATCAGATTTTTTCTATTAAGGTTTTCTCTATTTTTTCTATGCTACGTAAATTCCATCACCTCTTTTCAATTTTTAACAACCCCCTTCCCATAAATTTTTACATTGCATATAAGATTTTTTTATTAAGTTTTCTCTACTTTTTCTATAGTGCTCCATCACCTCTTTTCCTTTTTTAACAACCCCACCCACACCCCCAAACAGTTTACCCCTCGTCAGTTTAACCCGCCGACCCCTGTCTTAGTTTAATCCCCCTTCCCGTTTACTGAACGTAGGCGGGGTAAAAAATGGGGGAGGTTGATGGAGCCACTCTTGAAGATATTGAAAGTTCTTCTCAAACCATGTTTTCTTTGTTTTTTTTTTACTATTCTTCTTCTTTCCTTCTCTCATTATTGTCTTCTTTTTATTCAGTGATGGGGTGACACAGGGGATGGGGTTGCATCCAAACCCAGACAGGCTCATCAAATCATCTTCATTTCAATGTTTGATCACATCACCTGAAAGCGGTCATTCATCAATCAATAGAAAGAAGAACTGCAATCAGAACCCTTAAGTGATACAATCAGAAAATTATGAGAACAACTTAACCTCATTTTGATTATTTGATGTGTTTCGAATGGGTTCCAATGTAAAATCGAAGTTATAACTTACTTTATAAACATCTGGTGAAAAACAGTTGATGTTATAATGTAAAAATCATTTGAAGATCTGATGAATTTGAGCAATGTGTAAAATATCAACCAGCAGATATTTTTTCAGAGCAAATGCTACTGCAGGGTGTTATAAAGGATCCGATGACCGTTACCCCCTTTATAAAGAAACAAGAAAAGTAGATATTGGATAACATGGAGGTTGTTATTGACCATAAAATGAACCCTTAATTGAGAGAGTGATCTTCCCTTAAGTTGACCGTTTTACTTGGTCAAGGATTTTTCTTACCCCATATGGACAATTATAGGAAAGTTTTTTTTTCAGTCTGTAGTGTCCGGGTCGAGGTACCAGATTTATGTCCAGACTTTGAAAGCCGCGCCACCTCCAAACTTAGAGTCAATTTGCACAGTCGTGCCAAAAATGTGAGTCTAGAGAATCGCGAAAGCCACCACGGATCTTTTTGAAACTGGAAATGCTGGTCGCGAATGTTTGGACATGCCAAAAATTGATAGCGAAAACCTAAGTTGAGAAAACTTGGTTGCGATAAACTGGAAATAACTTGCGGGCCTTAATGCGGGGCGATAATTCGGAAATCAGTATTACCGTATCAAATTTCGAAACTTTCAAAGTTACTGCTTTTTTTAACAAAAAATCAAAATATATTTTATTTAAAATTTTCACCTATGATGATCTGGTGCGAAATGGAGGCATAGAGATTGTTCTAAGAATTTCTTTAGGATAGGAGTTTTTGATAAATTTTGAAGCAAAAAAGTAGGAAAAGGTACGTGGGAAGTATATGATTTGGATGTGAGGCGATTAGCATGTCCAATTGGAATATTGCCTCTTTGAATCTTTGTAAGGCAACAGAGTTTAAGGCCGGGGTGGCTTTCTCAAAGAGGATATTCGGATCGGGTAAACCGTCTGTTCGTGCTATCTTATTTTCGGCCGGATAGGTTCGTGCAACTTCTTAGTCTAATACCGATTCCATCTTACTCTTATATTTTCTAGTCTCTGTAGATTTAGTATATACTAGAATTCGTGCGAGAAAGAGCAGCGGAAGAGCAACTGCTGTCTTAGTTAAATTTCTCCTTCTCTGGCTGAAACTATAAATAGTTTCAACCTTACAAATTATTGTCAATTTTAGTCATGGATCATGATTTGATAGTCTTAAGTATTCTACGGTGACAGTTACAGTAATCAAGAGTATAAATCGATATAGCTTCCATCCATCCGGGGCTTAGGAAATTCTTAAGTTTTATGTTTTTCTAGTGAAGGATGGACGTAGTTTTTTTTTCCGGCTTCTTTGAGTAGATTCCTTGACCAGAGTGGCAGTTGGTCGGGTCAGTGAAATATTTGTTATGGAGAAAGAGATAAAGGTTGACGAGAGTTGTGGTCAGTTAAAGGATCGTATCGATGCTGCAGATTCGTGTAAAGATGCATAGATGCATCGATTTCATCAAGTAGGGCGAGACTAAGTGCATTCTCAACTATTTATCAAATAGCGAGATCAGGTTTGACTTCTCTGAGTGAGGTGCCAAGTGACTAGAATCCGTAATTCTGAGTTCAATATCGAGTTGGCCATTGTTCTTCTTCAATGGATGCCTTTGCTGCAATTTTGACTCTATACTTCAATTTCTGCGAGTGTTGTGACTGCGGGCAGCAAAACCACTAGGTTTGCCGTTCCAGTGTCGGATTGTCGCCGAGTTTCATCTACCTTTTGCTGCTAGTTTCTCTTGCTCGGAGAAGCCTTTCAATTTATTCATTTATGCACTTTTTAGTAATATCAATTTTAAAGAGTTGCTCACACTAGAGCTACTGTTGTAAAATTCAAAAATATGTACTTCGAGCGACTTCTGACAGAGGCCAGAGTAGAATTTTTTTGAGTGTCTCTTTGAGTAGAGTCTCTACTTGTGTGTAACTTTTCCTTTCTTTTACATCAGGTGTTTTCTCTTTTGTTCTCTCGGTTGTGTCCTTTTCTCAAAAACAAATTGCCTTTCCATCAACTAACCCAATCAGCTTCACCGTCAGAAACATCAACATCATCCCTTCGTTATACTTCCACTCCTGGGGGTTATTGGGAGAACTGGAAGTGGAGAGGGTTACTGCGGGCCTTGCAGTTAGTGGGACTTGTTTCAGAATCTAAAAATTGTCAGGGATGTTAGGGGCGGGGTTATTTAAAGAGTTATGAGTGTCAAAAACAGTTATGGCCTTGATGTTGTGTCCGAGTAATGATTTGCATATTAAAAAATGTTTCAGCTGCTTTTCACAGTCTTCGGGGTTGAAATGTAAAAGTTTTTCAATTTTAATTTGGTAGTCTGATTCAGGGTCGAGTCTGTTTTTTTTTTTCGTTTGAGACATGTGAACAATTTACTTACTTTTCAGAAGTGAACTTATAAAATGTGAAGGCTGTAGTGCGAGCTTCTGAGTGAAATTTTGTAATTACAATTTTAGTTTCGACTGCTTGTTGTTTTGATTTGCATTGTGTAATTTGATTTTTTGCGTATTTATGTAACGTCTCTTGATGAGTGTCTTCGCAATCTTAGTCAGTTACTAAAGTCTTCCGTGATCCCGTTCGTGGAGATGGTTTTTTGAGGATTGTTGGTTCTATTTGTTTTAGGAGGTAGATAGTGTTAAGAAAAAAAATAATTAGAAGAATTGTGTGTTTTTAGAGGTTTCACTAATAAGGAAACCTTATAATACTAGCCAGAGTCAGGGTATGGTATCTAAATTTACCCATTTTTTTCTTCAAATAAAAAAACACTACTTATATATTACAAATAGTGTATGTAAAAATGATTGTTCAATCGCACGTGAGGAAAAAATGGCAAAATACGGAACAAATTGGAAATAACAATTTTATTAGCATCTCTTTTAAATTACTAATTTGGTATGCAAATCTAAATTTATTTACTCAAAAAGTTTGAAAAAATTAGCTTAAAGAGCGGAGTTTTAAGTTCTACGAAAATTGGGAAAATGTGCAGCAAAAAGGCAGATCAAGGCTCCCAAACTTTCCATAAACTGTGAAGGCTGTAGTGCGAGCTTCTGAGTGAAATTTTGAAGTTACATTTTTTGTTTCGACTGCTTGTTGTTTTGATTTGCATTGTGTAATTTGATCTATTGCGTATTTATGTAATGTCTCTTGGTGAGTATCTTCGCAATCTTAGTGAGTTACTAAAGTCTCCCATGATCCTGTTCGTGGAGACGGTTTTTTGAGTATTGTTGGTTCTAGTTGTATTAGGAGGTAGATAGTGTTAACAAAAATATGTGTTTTTTAAAGGTTTCACTAATAAGGAAACCTTATAATACTAGTCACAGTTAGGCTATGGTACCAACAATTACCCATTTTTTTCTTCAAAAGAAAACACTACTTTATTACCACAAATAGTGTATGAAAAATTGATTGTTCAATCGCACGTGAGGAAAAAATAGCAAAATACGGAACAAATTGGTAATAACAATTGTATAAGTATCTCTTTTATAACACTAATTTGGTATGCAAACCTAAATTTATTTACTCAAAAAGTTTGAAAATATTAGCTTAAAGAGCGGCGTTTTAAGTTCTATGAAATTTGGGAAAATGTGCAGCAAAAAGACAGATCGAGGCTCCCAAACTTTCCATGTGATCGCAAAGTAATTCTCCTTAATTCTCTATAAAACACGAGTGGCAAAAAAGATAGCAGATTTACTCTCTTAGGGGTTTTGAAGTTTGTAATGTTTTGCCACATCAAATTCTTCGAGATTGGGGGTTAAAAGGCTGTGATTTGGTAGCCATTCTTTGTTACTGCTACCCAATTTTTAAAATTAAGGATGATAGACATTAGGAGGCTTTTTGTGAAATGTAAGCGGTTTCCGCAACAAGGACGCTCCCTTTCTATTTTAACATGGTGAAAGACTGAAATCCAGAAACATACACAAACAAAAGTGTGTGCCTATCCAGTGCCCAGTTTGGCCTCGCAAATGAGCTCAATTTTTAAAATTTTGGTCTCTTTCAGACCAAATGTCCCAAAACAGGGCTTAATAGGATATTTTCTAAAACTGCCTGAGACTTTTTGTAACATTATAAGATTGTCTCTTCCTTGTGTTCGAGTAAACTTTTTACCTTCGATGCAAATGTTTTTGAAAAACTTGATTTTAATTTCAAAACCAATTCTGCATCTGATAAATTACTTTTGTATTGCGCAGCTCCCCAAGCCTCATCGTTTTTTTGTTGAATAAATACTGCTCAAATGTATGCCCGCACTGACAAAACTGGATTTAGATCAATTTCAGTATGAAAAAAGTATGCAGATTAAATTGAAATCGATTTAAGTAGCAAAAAGTAAGTTAATCAAAAAGATCTAAATTCAACGCTAAAAAGATCGATTCCAGTCAATTTTAAATTGATTCAAAAAGATCTTAAATCTGACCGAAAATGAACTCGATCTGAATCGATTTTAAATCGATTTAAATCGATTTTTTTTACTTCTTTTTGTTTCTTCAAAATTTCGAATGACAGAAAAAATTGAAAAGTTTCGTTACGTGTCGTTACAGATACCAAAAATGACTGAATTGCTTGAAAAACAAAATCAACCACGACCCGGCCCCAATAGGAACCACGACCCGGCCCTTTTCTTCATTGAAGATGAAGAAAAGAAAAGCCGCATATAGGTAGAGGGGACGGATATAGGCAGAGGGGAAACTCAACCACGACCCGGCCCTTTTCTTCATTGAAGATGAAGAAAAGAAAAGCCGCATATAGGCAGAGGGGACGGAGTTAGAGACGAGGAGGGAGATATTGGAACCAGATCTAAACTACATTTTATTATTGGTTTTAAATTAGATGTTTTATCACTAAAAATATTTAATTTTAACCAATCATGATCCATCTAACAACCCACTTATCTGTGAGTGCTGAATTTACTTGTAATTTCAGCACCAGAGAGATTTGAATTTAACTTAGAAATTAGTTACCTCTCCAAGAGACCTTCTAGCAATTGCAATAAGCCAGTATACTCTAGATCTATTGAGCCTAGCAGAGACTAGTCAAACACCCTGAGACTAGTAGATATAAGAGTAAGATTAGGATCGGTATTAGACTAAGAAGTTGCACGAAT